TCCAGATTCACAAGAGTACCAAAAGCCTCTGGAACAAAACCAGAGAATTGATTTCTGCTAAGATCAAGCCTTTGCAGCTTTCTGCATTTTGCCAACTCATGAGGGATTAATCCTGAAAACTGGTTTGAGGAAACATTAAGACTCACAAGTTCAGTAAGGTCACCTATTTCAGGAGGGATCTGACCTATGAAATAATTAGCAGAAAGAAACAATCTCTCCAGGTTCTTTATCTTCCCTAATTCAGGAGAAATTGGGCCAGAAAATCTGTTCTGATTCATTTCAAGGGCAGACAAATTAAGGAGCTCAGAAAATTCTACAGGCAGACTTCCACTGAGTTGGTTGCTTCCCAACAGTAACTGCACAAGAGTACTGCATTTTTTCACACCAAGAGGGATATTTCCAAACAATCTATTTGCTCCAAGGCTCAAATACATCAGTTTCCCATACTTGCAGAGGTGTGCAGGGATTGTACCAGTAAGATTATTGTCTGAAAGATCAAGGACAGTGAGGTTACTGGTGCTCCCTAACAAAGGAGGAATAATACCATCTAGATGGTTGTTAAAAAGCTCCAAATATTCTAAGGAGGTAAGGTTCTGACATTCAGGAGGGATTGCACCAGTCAAACTATTAATTGAAAGATCTATCCTCCTCAACCTACTCAATAGACAAAGCTCGCTGGGAATGCTTCCCTGCAGGTTGTTCTCAAAAAGATGAAGCAAACGAAGAAACTGGATCTGACCAAGCTCAATGGGAATGACTCCTGTTAACTTATTCTCAGAAAGATCAATCTCCAGTGCATTCACACAACCTCCTAGCTCACTGGGGATCATCGAACCAAATTGGTTTCTATAAAGGTATAGCTTTTTCAGCTTTGATAGCTTCCCAAGCTCCCCTGGTATCCTCCCAGTGAAAGCATTGTCATTCAAAGCAAGCATCTCCAACCTACTAAAGTTACCAAACTCTGCTGGAATCTCACCAGATAATATATTTTCCCAGAGGATCAAAGTTGTTAAATTCCTCAGCCTCCCAAATTCTGGTGGTAGAAATCCTTCTAGCCTATTCTGTGCAAGCCCAAGAATCTCTAAGCTAGCACATTCACTAAGCTCAACAGGAACTTGACCTGAAAGAAAATTCAAACCTGCACGTATTATTTTAAGACTCTTCAACATTCCAACAGAAGAAGGAAGAGTTCCAGAGAGGTTGTTGCTGTAAATGACAAGCTCTTCAAGAGAAGTCAAATTTCCAATCACTGCAGGTATTTGACCATAGAGAAAATTCTCACTGAGGAAAAGCTTCCTCAGTGATGATAAAGAGAAGAGTTCTGAGGGGATCTCGCCATGAAGCTTGTTGGTACTAAGGTCAAGAATTTCCAAATGCTTACAATTCATCAACTCTTTAGGAATAGAACCAGAAATAATGTTCTTTGAGACATTAAATATGGTTAGGAAATGAAGCCCACATATGCTAGCGGATAAGCTACCAGAGAGATTGAACCCATGAAGATTAATAGAGGCTACCTGAAAGTCCACACAACCGATGCCATTCCATTGACAGGTACTGGACTCCGAGGAGTTCCAGTTCTGAAGAGCACCACTGAAATCAACTAAACCTCCCTTAAATTGCAGGAGCAGCTGCTCCTCCAGCTCACCATTGACAATGCCAACCATAAAAATGCTAGGAAAAATCATCAGAAGAGGAAAATTCCACCACTTGGGTATCATTTCCACTAGATCGAAAGTTATAATCAAAGCTATAACGGGTGAATTGCTTGTAGTAAAAAATCCTACAAACTTCAGAGAATGAGTTCAACAATTCCAAAATCCAAGTAAAATGGAAGGGAGCAACCAATAGCAAATATAGAACACAAGCCAAAGTAATAAGATCGCCATTTCATACGCAACAAGAGGATCGTCAAATGGAAAAAACGGATATTCTCTGATTGTGACATTCATACATTGTAGACATCCCAAGAAGAGAAATTTCGAATAAAAAAGAGGTAAAAGGTGGCATCAAGATCGATCTTTTAATGGAAACTTGTAAACAAAGATGCGCTTTCTCTCCTTAAACACACAGCTAAAATAAAAAAAGAGTTGTGCCGACAATGGAGGGAAGAATGGCGTTGGAATCCTATAAGAAGCAATCATTAAAGAGATGGAAAGAAGTGGAAGTGACAGGTTGAGGTGGTGGGATTCAGGCTAAGGCGGGGTTATAAACTATTTCATGGAGGATGGGAATCGAAAATATTGATGAGGTGCTGTTAGAAGATCATCCGAACCAGCCTCATGTGTCTAAACATTTCATCCCGCATATAGTCGTGATCGACCTGATGACCCTAGGGTCTTACACTCTGCCAACAAAAAAGTCTCGGTTAAGGATGTAAACAAGTCGAAAACAAGCAAGCTCAACTCGTGTTAGGCTCGTTTATATTTAGAGCTCTAAAAATA